CCCCAGTGTCCCCTGACCCCCCCGTGCCCCCCAATGTCCCCTGACCCCCCCCGACCCCCCCTGACCCCCCCGTGCCCCCCCAGGCGGACATGGCCACGTGGCTCCGGGTCATCCAGGCCACGGCCGCGCTGGGCCCGGGGGGGCCCCGGGAGGGCTCCGGGGGGGCTCCCAAGGGGATGTCGAGGGCCCTGAGCCTCCCCCCGGTGCCCCCCCCCGCTGAGGGCCCCCTCGGAGCCCCCCGGCCCCGCGAGCCCAAGGAGAGGGAGAAACGGTTCAGCTTCTTCAAGAAGAACAAGTAGAGGCCGAGGGGGTCCCACGGAGGGGTCCCGGACATGGGGGGTCCCACGGAGGGGTCCCGGACATGGGGGGTCCCCACGGAGCCAATGGAGGGACCCCCGGGCCGGGGGGACCCCGCGGAGCCGACGGAGGGACTTGGGGGGGCCCCATTGGGGGGTCTCTGTGTGTGTGTCCCCCCCCGTCCCGGTGACGTCCCCGCGCAGCCCCCACCCCAATAAAGAGACTGAGAGACACGGAGGGGTCTGAGTGTGTCGGGAACGGGACTGGGATCAGGACGGGACTGGGATCAGGATGGGACTGGGATGGGGATGGAGAGGGGATCAGGACGGGATTGGGATCAGGACGGGACTGGGATCAGGACGGGATTGGGATGGGGATGGAGAGGGGATCAGGACGGGATTGGGATCAGGACGGGACTGGGATGGGGATGGAGAGGGGATCAGGACGGGATTGGGATCAGGACGGGACTGGGATGGGGATGGAGAGGGGATCGGGAGCGGGTGGAACAGGCATGGGATTGGGATTGAAACTGGGATGGGCTGGAGACGGGATAAGAGCGGGATTCAGGTGCGGATGGGATTGGGGTTGGAAGGGGACGGGATTGGGGTTGGAAGGGGACGGGATTGGGATGGAGATGGAGATTGGGATATGGACGGGATTGGGGTGGGACAGAGTGAGATGGGATGGGAAGGGATGGGAAGGGATGGGAAGGGATGGGAAGGGATGGGGCAGGGCCGGGCTGGTTTCGCCAGCGTTCCCAGTGTTCCCAGTATGGCCCCGAGTGCTCCCAGCGCCCCCAGTACCCCCAGTGCTCCCACCACGTGAGCATTCCCAGTGCTCCCACCGTGCACCCCAGTGCTCCCAGCACTCCCAGTAAAGGCCCCAGGGTTCCCAGCGCTCCCAGCACGGACCCGAGCGTTCCCAGGACGTATCCCAGGGCTCCCAGAGCCCTCAGCGCGGATCTCGTGCCCCCAGCGCTCCCAGTATCCCCAGCGCCACATCCCAGCGCTCCCAGCGCTCCCAGTATCCCCAGCGCCACATCCCAGCGCTCCCAGTATCCCCAGCGCTCCCAGCACGCCCCCCCCCCCATCAATGGGCCGCCCCCGCCCCCCCCACCTCCCTCCATGGACCGCTCCGCCTCTGGCCCCGCCTCCTCCCTCCCGTGATTGGCCGCGGGGGCTCGGTGGGCGGAGCCATCCCGCGGAGCGGTGACGAAGCGCGGAGTTTGACGGACAGCGCCGGCGGCCAATGAGCGCGCGGGAGGCGGGGCCGGGCCGGGAGACGCCGCCGCCATTTTGAGACAGCGCGCGGCGGACGGGGCAGGTGGGGGCGGGGGGGGCGATGGGAGGGGGTCGGTACCGGGAGGGGGGCAGTGGGAGGGGGTCGGTACCGGGAGGGGGGGGCAGTGGGAGGGGGTCGGTACCGGGAGGGGGGGGCAGGGGGGGGGGGGGGCCGCAGTGTGAGGGGTGTTTGGAGTTGGCTTACGGGAGGGGTGTGGGGGCAGTGGGAGGGGGTCGGTACCGGGAGGGGGTCGGTACCGGAGGGGGGGGCAGTGGGAGGGGGTCGGTACCGCGGGTTATGGGGGGGGGACACGCCCCGGCCCCGACCCCGCTGAGGCGCCCGGAGGCCTCAGGGTTGGGGCGTCCGAGAGGGTCTGGGGGGGTCTCGGCGCTGTCGGGGGCGGAGGCGTTTGGGGGGGGGGGGTCTGAGATTCGAGGGGGTCTCAGATCCGGGGGGGTCTCACATCCGGGGGGGGGTCTCAGGGCGGTTTGGGGGTCTCAGGTCCGAGGGTTCTGAGCCCTGGGGGGTCTCAGATCCGGGGGGTTTTCAGATCCGGGGGGTCTCAGGCCTGTGGGGGGGTCACAGGCCCAGGAGGGGTCTGGGGTGGGGGGTCCCAGATCCGGGGGTTTTGGGGCTCGGGGCGTGGCTCTGCCCTGCTGGGGGGAGGGCAGAGGATTTTGGGGGGTTTTGGGGGGGTCACAAGCCGTGGAGGGGTCAGAGATTGGGGGGCTCAGCCCTTATTGAGCCACAGCCCTGGAAGTGGGGTGGGGGTCGGAGGTTTGGGGTGTTTTGTGAGGATTTTGGGGGTCGGGGGGCACAGTTTTGGGGAATTGGAGGTGTTTGGGGGCTCAGCCCTTTGTTTGGGGTGAGGCCTTACAGGGGGCAGAGATTTAGGGTATTTGTTTGGGATAAATGGGGGGTGTTTGGGGGCACAGCCCCGTTGGGAGGGTCAGAGGTTTGGGGTGTTTATTTGGGGGGGGGAAATTGGGTTTTCGGAGGGCTCTGCCGTGAAGGAGAAGGGACACAATTTTTTGGGGTGTTCATTTGAGGGGAATTCGGGGACTCAGCCCTGAGGACACACACAGAGGTTCAGGGTGTTGATTTGGGGTGTCCGTGGCCTCAGCCCTGGCAACGCACACGCGGATTTTTGGGTCATTTGGGGGCTCAGCCTTGGGAACACACAGAGAGGTTCGGGGTGTTAATTTGGGGGGTTGATTCGGGGTGTTTGGGGGCTCAGCCCCGAGGACACACAGAGAGGTTCGGGGTGTTAATTTGGGGGGTTGATTCGGGGTGTTTGGGGGCTCAGCCCCGAGGACACGCAGATATTTGCTTCGGGGGCACAGCCCTGGGGATCCCCCCCGAGGTTTGGGGTGTTCACCTGGGGGGATTCTGTGCCCCGGAGCCCCGCGGGGGTCCCCGGGCCGGGCCGTGTCTCAGGGAGGGCTCTCGGGGGTCCCCTGACGGCGCTGTCCGGGCGCAGGCGGGTCGCGATGGTGAAGCTGTTCATCGGGAACCTGCCGCGGGAGGCGACGGAGCAGGAGATCCGCTCCCTGTTCGAGCAGTACGGGAAGGTGCTGGAGTGCGACATCATCAAGAACTACGGCTTCGTGCACATCGAGGACAAGACGGCGGCCGAGGACGCCATCCGCAACCTGCACCACCACAAGCTGCACGGCGTCTGCATCAACGTGGAGGCCAGCAAGAACAAGAGCAAGGCCTCCACCAAGCTGCACGTGGGCAACATCAGCCCCGCCTGCACCAACCTGGAGCTGCGCGCCAAGTTCGAGGAGTACGGCCCCGTCATCGAGTGCGACATCGTCAAGGACTACGCCTTCGTGCACATGGAGCGGGCGGAGGACGCGGTGGAGGCCATCCGGGGGCTGGACAACACCGAGTTCCAGGGTGAGCTCGGGCCGCGGGCGGCGGGGAGGGCTCTGGGGGTCCCGGCGGAGGGTCCCGCTCCCCCGTCCCAGGTGCGACCACGATCGGCTCCGGGCGCTTGCCCGCCCACCCTCCCCTCGCTGCCATGAAGCACCACCGGGGTTTCGGGGTTGGTGTCGTTCGGTGCCCCCCCGGCGCGGCTCCCGGTGCGGCCGGAGCGAGGGCTCGGGGCTCGGGGGCGCTGGGCCGGGGAGGACGGCACTGACCCATCTCTGATTAACCAGCACGGCCGCCCCGCAGGAGGACCCCGACGGCGACGTCCTGTGCCGGGCCGGAGCAGCGGGTGACGCCAGGCTGCCGCCCGCCCTTGTAGCCTTGCCCAGCCTGGTAAGAGGGTGACGGAGGCGCCGACCCCGCGCCCGGCGTCGCTCGGGCGCTCGCCGGGGCCGAGTGGCCGGGCTCGAGCCGCGGCGATGGCGGCGGCGATGGCGAGCGCGTCTCCCGGCCGGGTGCTCAGGGCGGCGTCCGGCGCTTCACCCGCGTGGCGGCGGCGGCGGGGCCGGGTCCTGCCGGGACTCCGCACGCCCCGCTCGGGGCCTTCCCCAAAACGCCGACCCAGCCGGGACGGCGCGGCCGCGCCCGGAGCTCCCGCGGCCACGCTCGGCTTTGCCTCGTGCCCCGTTCGTGCCGGGGCCGTTCCCGGCGTCACGTCCCTCTTGCCGCCGCTCTGGCGTTTTCCGGCGGGAAGCTTTGCCGTCGTACGGGGCTGGCGGGGCCGGGGCCTGTCCCCGGGCTGCCGGGGCTTTGCCGGGGCGGCTGCGGTGGCACCGTCCCGGTAAGTCGGTGTCCGGTGTCCATCCAGCGGCTCTCGCTCGGTCCCGTGGCAGCTCCTCCCGTGCCGGTCGCTGCGGAGGGCTGGGGAGGCGGCGGCCGGTCCCGTCCCGTCCCATGCCGGTGATCCCGCGCCGGGGCGGCCGCACTGACCGTCCCTCTCCCCTCTCCCCAAGGCAAGCGGATGCGCGTGCAGCTGTCCACCAGCCGGCTGCGGACGGCGCCCGGGATGGGAGACAAGAGCGGCTGCTACCGCTGCGGGAAGGAGGGGCACTGGTCTAAGGAGTGCCCCGTCGATCGCCCGGGGCAAGTGGCGGACTTTGCCGAGGCCTATAACGAGCAGTACGGAGCCGTGCGCGCTCCCTACGCCGCGGGCTATGGGGAGACCGTGTATTACGATGAGGCCTACGGCGGGATGGCCGACTACTACAAGCGCTACCGCGTCCGCTCCTACGCCACGGCCTCCGCGTACGACGCCTACGCGGAGCAGACCATGGCCCAGTACTCCCAGTACGCCCAGTACTCCCAGGTCCAGTCCTCGGCCATGGCCGCCACCACGGCCATGGCCGGCCGCCTCCCCGCCGCCCTCGACGCGTACGACCGAGCGCTGCTGCCGACCCCGGGCGCGGCGGCCGCCGTCGCCGCCGCCGCCACCGCCGCCGCGGCGGCCGCCTCCTCCACCTATTACACCCGGGACAGGAGCCCCCTGCGCCGCACGGCCGCCGCGGCCAGCACCGTGGGAGAGGCGTACACGTACGAGCGCGGCCAGCTCTCGCCCGTCTCCTCGGTGGCCCGGGCCTCGCTCTACGACATGCAGCGCTTCGGGCGGGACCCGTACGCGGACCGGGCGCGTTATTCCGCCTTCTGAGCCGGAGGTGAGCGTGTTGGCGGCACTCGGTGCCGCGGGGGGGCCCCGCTGCCGGTGGTCCCGGTTGTGCCAGTTGAGCTCGAGGCGGGTGATGGGTCGCGGTGACGCAGATGGGCCCCCGTGACGCGGACGGGCCGTGCCGGGGTCCCGCGGGCGTTAAAGCCCGGCCGTGCCCAGGAGGTGCCGCGCTGAGCGGGGTCGGTGCTGGCGGTCGCAGTCGCGGCCGTAACTCAGGTTCCCACCGGGCCGGGAGACGTCCTGGCACAGTCCCCGCAGGGTGGGGGGTTCCTGCAGAGCCCCCGGGCCGTGGCTGCCACGATGACCCCCCGGGGTAACTCCAGGCTGGAAGGGCTCTGCCCCGGTCCCGCTGGGCCGGAGGGTCCCGGTGGCCGCTCGGAGCCCCCGCTGCTGCTCCACGTCAGGACTCTCTGGTTGCTCCCAGGAAAGCCGCAGCTCCCCGGGGTGCCGGGGCTCGGCACGGTCTCGGGGGGCACCTGCGCCAACTGCTCTTTTCTCTTTCAGGTAAGATTTGTGCGGCTGGACGTCGGGGTCCCGTCGCACGCCGATCGGCGCCGCGCGTCTCGGGCCGCGCCGGGTCCCAGCGCCGCCGCGTGCCGCTCCCCAGCCGGTTCCCCATGGACGCGCGGCTCGGCCCGGGCAGGATTAGCTCAGCCCTTCCCCCTCCCCAGCTTCCCCCGCCCCCCCGGGCAGGATTTTGCTTTTCCAGGTGGTTTTGGGTCCCCGCCCCCCCCCCGGGGCTCAGGTGCCGCCGTCCCCCAGCGCCAGCTTTGCTTTGCTTCGCCGCCCCCCCGTCGCTCCCCCCGGAGCTGCCCCGAGTCGTCGTTTGCCTTTTTTTTCTCCTTTATTTTTGAGAGGCTGGAGAAGCCCGTGGTAGGTTTGTAGCCCAAGGCCGTAGCTGACCGGAGCCCGCCGCGCCGGCGGGGGTGGATCCCCCCATCCTTAGCGTCCCCCGACCCCCTTTTCCGGTAAAATAAACCCAGAATTTTTAACAAATGGCGCTGGCTCCGCCCCCGCTTCTTTCTCTGCACTCGAGTCCCCCCGGAACGTGGCGGGGAACCTTTTGGTGGAACCTTTTGGACTCACCGGGGCTGCCCCTGCCCTGCCCGGCTCTGCCAAGGGAGGGGCAGATGAGCTGGGGAAAGGGGGGCACCCCAAAAATAGCCCCCGGCCCCCACAACGAGGCTTTAATGAGCCCCCGGCTCTGCTCCCCAGTTTCCCTGCGCCCTCGGGGGTTTTCCTCCTCGTTTTCCTCCTCACGGGCAGCCTGAGCAGCAAATTAACCTGCCCGGGGCTAATTAGTCCCCAGACTGGCTGGTTTGTCCAAATTAACCTGCCCGGGGCTAATTAGTCTCTCTGAACTGGCTGGTTTGTCCCCACGTTGTCTCGTCGGTCCCCAGCCTGGCTCCCCGGTCCCCGTGTGTATTCAGTGGTCCCCAAAGGGGTTCATTAGTCCCCAACCTGCCTGGTCCGTTCCTAAACCATCTCCCTCCTCCCCACACGGCTCCTTTGTCCCCGAGTGGCCCCTGCCACCCTCCTGCCTCTCCCCCCTCCTGCCTCTCCCCCCTCCTGCCTCTCCGTGCTCCTTCTGTTCTTCGGTGACGTCGCCGGTTCCGCCTGCGCTGGCTCCGCCTCTGCCTCGGCAGCTGCCGCTCCAGTCGCTCCCATCACTCGGTGACGTGGCCCGGGGGGCTCGGGGGACGCGTGGCTGCCCTGGAGAGGAGGGGAGAGGCCTTAGACCCTCCTGCCTGGCTAATTAACGTGGTGTTAATGAGCCCCGGCCGGCCCTCCCACAGCACAACCAGGCCCGTGCCTCTAGAAAGGCTCACGGTGGCACAGGTGACTCGTGGCACACACGCGGGTTTGCCCCTCAAAACCAGGTTTTCTCACCCAAAACGAGGCCGTGGTGCAGGCCGGTGCCCGGCAATGCCTCGTGTTCACCGCAGCAGTGTCACGATGGCTGCGAGTCCAGCACTGCTGTCCCCAGCGCTCCGGCCCTTCCCGCTGCCGGCGCGGCACAGCTCGTGCTCCAAACCCGCCTCTTCCGTGGCGGCAAAGCGGCTCCAGCGCCAGGAGCGGCACCGAAACGGGGGGTCTGTGGTGACAGTGGCACCGGGAACGGTCGCTGAGGGTGGGAGGGAACCCCCGGGGCCAGGGAAGAACCAGGCGGGAGGCGTCGGGAATCAGAACAGACCCCACTGTTTATTTACAATCATAAAAAACCCCGGCACCGCGCCGGGCACGACGCTGGAAACGGGGGGAATTCACCCAAAAACGGGGCGACTCGTGGTACAAAAAGAGCCTCGGTGGCTTACGAACCGGCACCGAGCGCCAGCGGCGCCACGACGTAACCGCAGAACCCTCTAGAAAACTCAAATAAAGAGCGACAAACCGAAAAAAGCAGCTAAAAAAGCCCAGTCCGTGCGCCGGGAGCGGCTCACAGGCGGCGCTGGTAGCCCGAGTGGACGCGGGCGGCGGGCAGGTAGTCGTTGTACCCGCCCGAGTACCGGGCGTACTCGGCGTGCGCGTCCGGCAGCCGGCGGTAGTCCAGCGGGGACTTGGTGGGCGAGCGGCGGTAGCCCAGCGGCGAGTCGGCTAAGCGCCGGTAATCGGCCAGGTCGGACAGGCGGCGCTCGGAGCCGTACCTGGGCGAGAGAACAGACGGGGATGAGTTGAGGGGGGGGACGGACGGTGCCCAGATCCTCCCCGGCGGCACCGCATCCCACCCGGGCGCACGTCGCGACTGGCACGGCCGGCGCAGGACGGGTCGGGTGCCACGGTGGCTCCGCCGCGCGCCGCCGGCTCCCCCCGCCCCGCCCCGAGCCCCATCCCGCCCCCGGGACGTAGAGCACGAGCGGAACCATCGCGCCCCCCGCGCCGGTGCCACGCCGGTCAAGCCCCGAGGGGCGCGCCGGTGCCCGGCCAGCCGGTGCCCGGCGAGCGGCAGGGGCGGGTGCGGGTGCCCCGCCCGGCGCCGTACCTTTTAGCCAGGGCGGACGATTTTTTGTACGGGTCGTCGTAGACGGCGCTGCGAGGCGGGGACAGGCGGGTGCGCTCGTAGGGCGGTGCGGCGGCGGCGGCCTGAGCCAGGCCCAGGTAGGAGCCCGCCGGCTGCCCCAGCTGGCTCGGCCCGTCGTAGGCGCTGCCCGGCTGGGCTCGGTACGCGGCCGCCAGCGTGGCGGAGGAGGGCTGCTGCGCCGGGTAGGACGCCGCCATGGCGCCGGAGGCCTGGGCCCGGTACGCGGCTGTCAGCGGGGCGGAGGCCTGCGCCTTGTAGGAGGCGGCGGCGGCAGCCTGGCTGCCGTAGGACGCGGCCAGCGACGAGCCCGCCTGCGCGCCGTAGCCGGCGGGGAGCGCGGCGGCGGCGGGCTGGCTGCCGTAGGACGCGGGCAGGCCGGCGGCGGGCTGGGCGCCGTACGAGGCCGAGTGGCCCACGGTGGGCTGGGCGCCGTACGAGGAGGAGAGCGCGGGCTGGGCGCCGTAGGAGGCCGAGTGGCCGGCCATGGGCTGGTAGGCGGCGGTGGCGTGACCGGTCACCACCTGGGCGCTGTAGGAGTTGGCGTGCACCGCCACAGCCTGGGCGCTGTAGCCGGCGGAGAGCGCGGCGCCGGGCTGGGCGCCGTAGGAGCCGGCGTGGCCGTCCACGGGCTGGCCGCCGTAGGAGGCGGCGGCGGGCTGGGCGCCGTAGGATGCCACGTGCGTGGCCACGGCCTGGGCGCCGTAGGAGGGGGCGGGGCCGGCGGCGGGCTGGGCGCCGTACGCGGCCACGGCGGGCTGGGCGCCGTAGCCGGACGAGTAGCCGGAGGCGGGCTGGGCGCCGTAGGAGGAGGCCAGGGCGGCGGACTGGACGCCGTAGGAGCTGAGGGAGTTGGCGGCGGGCTGGGCGCCGTAGGCGGCGGCGGGCTGGGCGCCGTAGGAGCCGAGGGAGTTGGCGGCGGGCTGCGCGCCCGCGGCGCCCAGGGAGCCGACGGAGGGCTGGGAGCGGTAGGCGCTGCCCAGCGAGGCCGAGGGCTGGGCGCGGTACGCGGCCGCCTGGCCCGTGGTGGGCTGCAGGCGATAGGCCACGCCCACGGAGGCCGAGGGCTGGGCGCGGTACGCGGCGCCCAGCGAGGCCGAGGGCTGGGCGCGGTAGGCGGCCGGCTGCGCCGTCACGGGCAGCGTCACCGCCGCGTAGCCGGCGCGGGTGGGCGAGCGCCGCAGGGGGCTGCGGTCCCTGCCGAAGTAGGAGGGGGAGCTGGGCCGGGCCGGCGCCTCGAAGGCGTCGTACTTGGCGCCGAAGCGCTGCTGGTAATCGTACAGGGACGAGGCGGTGCCGTAGCCGGCGCCCGCGGCCGAGGGGAAGGCGGCGTCGGCCGCCCGGCGCTGCTGGTCGAAGCCCTCGATCTTGGGCTGGAACTTCTCGCGGTACTCGAGGCCGATGCGCTTGGTCTTGTCGACGCCGAGGGCGGGCGGCGGGGCCTGGCCCCCGCCCTTCTTCTGCACGTTGGTGGAGAGCTCCACGTTCACCCGGCGCCCCTTCACCTCCTTCCCGTTTAGGTTTTCGATGGCAACTTTAGCATCGGCTTCGTTCTCCATGTGCACAAAGGCATAGTCTGACAAAGCAGCAGAGAGAGCAGTGAGGGGAGAAAACACAACTCGTTAGCGGAGCCGGCGCTAACGAGCCGCGCGGCGGCGGGACGGGCGCAGGACGGGCACGGACGGGCCCCGCTCCGCCGGCAAAGACACGACCGCCTCCGTTGCTCCTGCCCAGAGAACCTGCCAGAGCCTGAGGAGCCCCCGCCTGCCCGGCCCCACCCGGCTCACAGCCCCCCCACAGCCCCCCCGTTCCCTCTGGCCCCCCTTCCCTGCCTCCTGCACCCCATGAGGGGTGGGGGACTCCCCCCAGCCCCTCCCCAGGCACACGGGGACCGAGGGCCCCGGCGGCGTCGGCACCGGGGGCTCAGCTGGGGCGTCCCGGCCGTGAGCGGAGCAAAGCTGAGAGAACCGGCGCCAGCAGAGGGAGAGGGAGGGGGAGAGAGAGGAAAAGGGGGAGAGGGGGGAGAGAGGAAGAGGAAAGGGGGTGGGGGGGACACACAGGAAGAGAAGAGGAGAGAGAGAGAGAAGGGAAGGAATTGAGAGGACAGGGAGAGAGAGGAATAGGGGGGGAGAGCGGAGAGAGAAAAAGGGAAATAAGAGAGAAAGAGAGGGAGGAAGGGGAGGGGGGAGGTGAGAGGAGAGAGGAAGGGCCCTGAGCACCCCCTGTGAGTGCCCGGCCGTGGCGAGGAGCCGGTGCCGCGCGGCACAACCGCGGCACAGCAGCGCGGAGGCGTCAGAGAGAGGAGAGCGAGAGCGGGGAAGCGGGACCCGGGGGCACCCGGCCCAGTGGGTCTGGGATGCCCCCACGGTAGCCAGGGCTCACCCCCGGGACACGACGGGTCCGGGGCCGGCACGGGGAGGGCAGTGACCCCGCGGTGCTGCCCCCGCGGTCACAGACCGGGACCACCGGAACCGGCGACCGCCCAGCCGAGGGTGCGCCAGGAGCGTCGCTGGCAGAGCAAACCCACCCCGGACCCTCGAGCGTCTGCACTGAGTCACCTCCTCCTGCGTCCCCTCTGCCATCCCACCCTCCTGCCTCCTGTCCCAGCAGCCCAAGGAGGGGAGGGGATGTCCCCCCATGTTCCCCCCAGCCCTCCTGGCACCCCCTGAGCCCGAGGGGACGCGGGTGGGTTCTGCTGGGCTCCGCTGGCAGCTGCGACCTGGGACGAGAGAGCAGAGCGACAACGTCCCCCTCCCGTGGGCGAGGGGACGGCGAAGACGTCACCAGTCACCAGGACGGGGGGACACGTGCGTTGTGGGACGTCGTTGTGGGACATCACCGGGGTGGGACGACAGACGTGGGCATGGCGGGGTGACACCAGCGGGGTGACACCTTTGGCGCCAAGGTCGGGGAGATGCGGTGACACTGCCACGCTGCGTGTGACACGAGGGTGACACCTTTGGCACCAGGGTGAGGGGGACACACGGTGGCACTGCCACACTGTGTGACACGAGGGTGACACCTTTGGCACCAGGGTCAGGGGGACACGCGGTGGCACTGCCACACTGTGCGACACGGGGGTGACACCTGCTCAGAGCAGGGTCAGGGCGAGGGGGTGACGCCATCACACCCTGTTGGGGGTCCCCAGTGTGGAGCCGTCGAGCCCCTGGGGGGTTTCCCGGCTCCCTTGCCCTCAGGGTGTGCATGTGGAGCAGGATGGGCCGAGGGCTGTCCCAGAGGGGGCAGCGAGCAGGGCCGGGGGGAGGCGGCGCTGGAAGGCGGGACAGTGGGGTGGGTTTTGGGGGGCGTGGGGAGCCCCGTCAGAGCCGCACAGCCCCGCCTGGGGCGGGGGAGGCGATGGAGGAGGACACGGGTGGCTGAAGGGGGAGAAGGGGGCGGTTCGGGGAGCCCACGGGGCCTCGCCGAGCGAAGGCGATGGAGGACACGTGGCTTCAAGGGGATCATGGAGGGGCTCAGGGGGGCGGGCTGGGGAGCCCGGACAGGCTCGTACAGCCCCACCCGGGGCCGGGGGAGGCGATGGTGGAGGACGTGGCTGCCAGGACGGGGGTTCTGGGGGGCTGAGTCGCCCACACGAGCTCGCACGGCCCCACCTGGGGCTGGGGGAGGTGGCGATGGAGGACGCGGCTGCCAGGACGGGGGTCCTGGGGGGGGGTTCAGGGAGCCCCCACGGGCTCGCACCCTCCGCTCCACCAGCCCGGGCAGCGCCGGGGTCCGGGCGGGGGCGGCGCCGCAGTCGGACGGAACTCGGGTCCCTCGGGTCGCCCGGCGGCGCGGGCCGAGCTCGGCGGGGGCCGCACGGCCCCAGCGGCGGGTCCGGTACCTTTCACCACGTCGCACTCCACCACGGGGCCGTACTGCTGGAACAGCGAGCGCAGCTCCCCGCTCGTGCACGCGGCCGACACGTTCCCCACGAAGATCTTGCAGGTGTTGGTGGGGCGCGGCCGGGACGGCTCCACCACGATGCGGCGGCCGTGCAGCTGGTGCCCGTTGAGCTGCGAGATGGCGCGCGCGGCCGCCGCCTCGTCCCGCAGGTGCACGAAGGCGAACTGCTTCATGAGGGCGATGCCCAGCACCGGCCCCGCGGCGCCGGCGAACAGCTCGCTCAGCTCCTCCGCCGTCGCCTCCTCGGGGACGTTGCCCACGAAGAGTTTGATGCCGGGACGCATCGCGGCGGCGGCACGGGCGGGGAGCGGGAGCGGAGCGGGGACGGGCAGCGGCGGCGGCGGCCTCAAAATGGCGGCTGCTCCTGAGGGCGGCGGGGGCGGGGCGGGCCGTGCGCAGCGCGCCTGCGTGCCGTGTGCACCGCCCTCCCCTCAGCGCGCCTGCGTGCCGTGCGCACCGCCCTCCCCTCAGCGCGCCTGCGTGCCGTGTGCACCGCCCTCCCCTCAGCGCGCCTGCGTGCCGTGCGCACCGCCCTCTCCTCAGCGCGCCTGCGTGCCGTGCGCACCGCCCCCTCTGCGTGCCGTGTGCGCATCGCTCCGCCCGCTCTTTTCCCGCCGCGCTGTAGCCCCGCCCACCCCCATCGAACCACGCCCCTCTACATCAGGCCACGCCCCCTCTTAAAGGAGCCGCCGCTCGCCCCCCCCCCCCAAAATCCGCATCGGCTGCAGAGCGAGGGGCGTTTATTGGGGTCCCGCGTCCTCCTAGAGGTGGGGGCCGGGGGTCCCCGCGGGGGTGGCGCTGCTCCGGTCGCGCTCCTCCCACAGGGTGACGCCGTCGCAGGAACAGACGCGTTTGGGGTTCTGGAAGAGTCCGGCGGCCCGAGCCACCACACCACAGGCCAGGCTGGGGGGCACGGGGAGGGTCAGCCCCCAGACACCCCCCGAACACCTCCCCAGATCCGCCCAAACACCCTCCAAACTCCCATCTCAAATCCCCCCCAACCCCCACACAAACACCCCCCCAAACCCCCCAGAAATCCCCTCGAACACTCCCCCAAACCCCTCCAGGCCCCCCAAACACCCCCCAAAAAGGCCCAAACATCCCCCCCAAATCTCCCTCCAAAGCTCTCAAAACACCCCCCGAACACCCCAACACCCCCCAAACACCTCAACAGCCCCAAACACCATCCCAAAACACCCCCAAGGAGCCCCCAACATTCCCCCAAATCCCCCCCCAAACCCCTCACAGCTTCCCCCAGACACCCCCCCAAACCCGCTCCAAACACCCCCCAAACCCCTCAAACAAACCTTCCCTCAAACCCCCATCGAACCCGTCCCAACTCCCCCCCAGAGCCCCTCAAATCCCCTCCAAATCCCACCAAAACACCCCCAGACGCCCCCCCGGCCCCCCCGGGCTCACCCCGGCCCCGAGTTGCCGGTGAGGGGGGACAGGGGGTGGGACCCCCGGCCCAGATCGTCCTCGCCCTGGGCCACCACCACCGAGCGGCCGATGATGTCCGAGACCTGGGGGGGGTTGGGGGGCGGTCAGGACCCCCCTAGAGCAGGGGGGGGGCAGCCCAGATACCCCCAAAGGACACAGAACTGGGTCAGACCCCCCCCACTAATGGGGTACAACCCAGATACCCCCAAAAGACACAGAACTGGGTCAGACCCCCCCCCATTAATGGGGTAAACCCAGATCCCCCCAAAGACACAGAACTGGGTCAGACCCCCCCCCCCATTAATGGGGTACAACCCAGATCACCCCAAAGACACAGAATTGGGGTCAGACCCCCCCCATTAATGGGGTACAACCCCGACCCCCCCAGACACAGAACTGGGGTCAGGAGCCCCCTCCCAAAATCATGGCATTCCCCCCCATGTGACCACGGTCAGACCCCCCACCCCGGCCATGGGGTGCAGCCCTGGGAGGGGGTGACCCCCAGACCCCCCCAGACCCCCCCAGACCCCCCTTGCCCACCTTCAGCCGGGGGTCCTCGATGCGGAACCGCGCTCGGCCCTCGGCGTCCGCCCAGATGTTCCCCAGGTCCCCGGCGTGCTGGGGGGGTGAGGGGGGGTCCAGGAGCCCCCCCCAGACCCCCGGGGAGACCCCCAAACCCACAGAGTGCCCTCCAATTCCATAGAGTCCCCCCAAACCTCCAGGGAGCCCCCTCGACCCCACAGAGCCCCCCCTGACCCCAAGGGAGCCCCCCAAACCCACAGAGTGACCCCAACCCCACAGAGCCCCCCCTGACCCCAGGGAGCCCCCCCGACCCCACAGAGCCCCCCCCGACCCCAGGGAGCCCCCCCGACCCCACAGAGCCCCCCCCGACCCCACAGAGCCCCCCCTGACCCCAGGGAGCCCCCCAGACCCCACAGAGCCCCCCCCGACCCCAAGGGAGCCCCTTCAAACCCATCAGAGACGCTCTCCCCCCCCCCCAAACTCCTCAAAGACCCCCCTCCGAGCCCCTCAGGGACACCAAGAACCCCCTGAAAGAATCCCCCAACACCCCCAGAGCCTCCCCAGACCCCCTCACTGCCCCCCCAGAGACCCCCCAAACCCCTCATGGCCCCCCCAGACCCCCTCACTGCCCCCCCAGAGATCCCCCAAACCCCTCATGGCCCCCCCACCATGCCCCCCCAAACCCCCTCACTGCCCCCCAGGCCCCCCCCAAACCCCCTCATGGCCCCCCCAACCCCTCATGGCCCCCCCAAACCCTTCACTGACCCCCCCACACCCTCCCAGGCCCCCCCCAGCTCACCCTGTGCTGGTCCTGGGGTCCCCCGTGGGTCTCCCCGTCGGGGTTGAAGTGCCCCCCGCAGCTGTTCGGGGGTCCCAGGGGGTGAATCGGGGGGTCCCAGGGGGTGAATCGGGGGGTCCCCGTGTTTCCTCCCCCCCCCAGGCCCCCCCAGCCCCCCGGTACCTGTCACAGGGGTCCGACAGGTCCCCGAACTCGTGGACGTGGAGCCCGTGGGGGCCCGGGGGGAGCCCCGACAGGGCCCCGTCCACGAGGCAGCGCCCGGGGGAGACCTGCAGGAACCGAACCAGCCCCCGGACCCCCCCGGGACCCCCCAGGGCCGCCACGGCTGCACCCCCGGGGGGCGCTGGGGGGGGCAGGTCAGGGTAGGGAGCCCCAAAAACACCCCGGGGACCCCAGGGCAGCCCCCAGGGACCCCAAAACCTCCCACGAGGACCCCAAAAACACCCCCAACAGCCCCCCAGGGACCCCAGAACCTCCCACAAGGACCCCAAAAACACCCCCAACACCCCAAAATCCCCTCCACAGGACCACAAAACCTCCCCCAAAACTCCCCCTGTCACCCCCAGACCCCTCTGTGACCCCCCCTGAACCCCCCTATGATCCCCCAAACCGCTCACTGACCCACCCCAACCCCCCCTGTGACCCCCCAGGACCCCCCCTCACCGTCAGGGGAGCCCCCCATGCCCTTGAGCACGGCCCTGCACCCCCAAACCCCCCCTGTGACCCCCCCTCACCGTCAGGGGAGCCCCCCATGCCCTTGAGCACGGCCCTGCACCCCGAATTCTCCAGCAGCTCCTGCACCCGCTCGGCCCCCAGGGAGGTCTCCACCAGCACGGACTGGGCCTGGGGGAGCAGCTCCAGCAGCGTCACCCCTGGGGGGCACAAAAGGGGGTCTTGGGGGGTCCCCAAAACCCTGGAGGGGGTCCCCAAACCCTGGGGGGGGTCCCAAAACACTGGGGGGGTCCCCAAACCCTGGGGGAGCAGCTCCAGTGGAGTCACCCCTGGGGGGCACAAAAGGGGGTCTTGGGGGCTCCCCAAAACACTGGGGGGGTCCCCAAACCCTGGAGGGGGTCCCCAAACCCTGGGGGAGCAGCTCCAGTGGAGTCAGCCCTGGGGGGGACACACAAGGGGGGGTCAGGGGGTCCCCAAACCCGAGGGGGTCTCTAATCCCTGGGGGGGGGTCCCCAAATCCAAGGAGGGTCCCTAAATTCCTGGGGGGGTCCCTAAATTCCTGGGGGGGTCTCACCTGGGGTCCCCTCCAGCGCCGCCCTCACGGCGTCAGCGCAGCCCCCGCAGCTCATCTGCACCGCGAACTCCAGCTGGGGGGGAAAGGGGGGGTCAGCACCCAAAAAATGGGGGTCAGCATCCAAAAAATGGGGGTCAGCACCAAAAAATGGGGGTCAGCACTCAAAAAATGGGGGTCAGCACCCAAAAAATGGGGATCAGCACCCAAAAAATGGGGGTCAGCACTCAAAAAATGGAAGTCAGCACTCAAAAAATGGGGGTCAGCACCCAAAAAATGGGGGTCAGCACCTAAAAAATGGGGGTCAGCATCCAAAAAATGGGGGTCAGCACTCAAAAAATGGGGGTCAGCACCCAAAAAATGGGGGTCAGCACTCAAAAAATGGGGGTCAGCATCCAAAAAATGGGGGTCAGCACCTAAAAAATGGGGGTCAGCACCCAAAAATGGGGATCAGCACCCAAAAAATGGGGGTCAGCACCCAAAAATGAGGGTCGGCACCCAAAAAATGGGGGTCGGCACCCAAAAAATGGGGGTCAGCACCCAAAAAATGGGGAGGAAAAGGAGGGGTCAGGACCGAAAAAATGGGGGTCAGCACCAAAAAAATGGGGGGAAAGGGGGCTCAGCACCCCGAGAACGGGAGGAGGGGGGTGTGAACCCCCCCAACTTCTCTGTAAGGGGTCTCACACCCCCAAAACTCCCACAGAAAGGCCTCTGCCCTCCCCAAACCCTGGTCCCCCAGGGCCCTGCACCCCCAGAACTGCCCCAGAAGGGTCTCTGCGCCCCCAAATCTCCCACATCATGGACTCGGAACCCCAAACCCTGGTCCCCCGGGGCCCTGCACCCCCAGAACTGCCCCAGAAGGGTCTCTGCGCCCCCAAATCTCCCACATCATGGACCCGGAACCCCAATTCCCGGTTCCCCGGGAAGCGCCGCACCCCCAAACGCGCCGTTCCCGGCTCCCCGCACCCCCGGCCCCTCTCCCCGCACCCCCGGCCCCGCCGTGCCCCCCTCCCCGAGCCCCCCGTGCCCCCCCGGGGGTCCCGACCCTGCAGCTGCTCCCGGGCCCCTCCGGCTCCGCCATGGCCGCGGACTCTGCCCCCGGAACCTCCCGCGGGCACCGCCGGGGGGGGTCGGACCGTTATCGCGGCCGCACCGCCGGGGGGGAAGGATTTGCCTGGAGCGCCACTTCCGGCGTCCTGTCGCCATGGCAACGGCGCGGGGCCGAAATAGGCCCGGGGGGGCTTGAGGGACCCCGAGGAGCTTTTGGGGAGCCCGAAAGGAGCTTGAGGGGCCCGGGAGGGGGAGGTGAGAGACTCGGGGGGGGGTTGGGAGGCCCGGGGAGGATTGGGGGGGGGGGGCGAGTGGGTTGGGGGGCTCAAGGAGGAGGCCTGGGGGGCTTGGGGGGACTCGGGGGAGGTTTGGGGGGGTCCGAAGGGGTTTGTGGGAGCTGAGGGGGGAAAGGGGGAGTCCCGTGGGGTGCGGTGGAGTTTTGGGGGTCCCCAGGGGTGTTTGGGGGCCCCAGGGGGCACACTGGGTTTCCCCGTGGGGGTGTGGGGAGGGCCGCAGATGTCGGGGGGTTCATCCCGCCCACAGGGACCCCCAAATCCTCTGGGTGAGGGGCTTGGGGGCCTCCACTGCCAGCACAGGGACCCCCAAAATGACCGACACCCCTCTCCGGAGCCCCCCCTCAGCAAAACCCAACGGGGAGACCCCAAAGCCCCCCCGAACCACTCCCCCGGGACCCCCAAAACGCCGCGGGGCAATAAACGGTTGAAAAAACCACTTTATTCACCCAAAAAAGAGCACAGACACATCGGGGGGGGGGGGGGGCAGGGAAAGGGGCAGCACCAAAATCGGGACCATGGGGGGGGACACGGCAGGGACCCCCCCAGGAGGCTCAGGACCCCTCACAATAAAGGTCTAGACCCCCCCAAAAGGCTTAGGGACCCCCCCAAGTTGGGGATCAGCCCCCCTAATTTGGGATCAGAGCCCCCAGATTGGGGATCAGACCCCACCCTCCAAAGGGACTCTCAGAGCCCCCCCCAAAACCGGGGCTCAGGACCCCCCCCAAAGGGCTCAGAGCCCTCCCAGACTCTCAGAGCCCCCAAACCCAGCTCAGGATCCCCCCAAAGGGCTCAGAACCCCCCCAGACTCTCAGTTCCCCCCAAACCCAGCTCAGGATCCCCCCAAAGGGCTCAGAACCCCCCCAAAGGGCTCCGAACCCCCCAGACTCTCAGTTCCCCCCAAACCCAGCTCAGGACCCTCAGAGCCCCCGCACTCACCCCCCCGGCCCCCCCTCAGCCCATCCCCTCCCGGACCCGCTGCACCAGCCGGGCCCTCACGGCGCGACCCTCGCGGGCCCCCGGGCCGGGTGGCGGGGGGGGCTGCGGGGGGGGCTCGGGGGGCCCCGTGGGGGGCGGGGGGAGCCCCTCGGGGGGCTCGAGGGGGAGGCGGCGGCGCAGGGCGATGTTGTGCAGGATGCAGCAGGCCATGAAGATCTGGCAGACCTGGGGGGTGGTGTACTGCAGCCCCCCGCCCGCCAGGCAGCGGAAGCGGCGCCGCAGCCGCGCCAGGGTCCGGCGCAGGGGGCCGAGGGTCCGGGCGTGCAGGGCGTTGTAGCGCAGCTCGGCCGCCCCCCGCGCCCCCTCGATCGGCGTCAGCAGCCACGGCTTCAGGGGGTATCCGTGGTCACCTGGGGGGGCACGGCGGGGTCAGGGCACCCCCGGAGCGACGGGGGCACCCCCCGGGTCACCCCGAGACCCCCACGTTAACCCTGAGACCCCCCGACCCCCCAGGGTAACCCTGAGACCCCCAGGTTAACCCTGAGACCCACCAGACCCCCAGGTTAACCCTGAGACCCCCCAGACCCCCAGGTTAACCCTGAGACCCCCAAGGCCACCAGGGTCACCCTGAGACCCCCAGGTTAACCCTGAGACCCTCAAGACCAACCCCAGGTCCCCAAGGTCACTCTGAGATCCCCCAGACCCCCAGGTTAACCCCAAGGCCACCCCTAGACCCCCAGGATCACCCTGAGACCCCTCCAGACCCCCAGGGTCACTCTGAGACCCCCCCAGACCCCCAGGATCACCCTGAGACCCCCCCCAGACCCCCAGGGTCACCCTGAGACCCCCAGTTTAACCCTGAGACCCCCAAGGCCACCCCCAGACCCTCCCAGGTCAACCCCGAGCCTTCGGTGGCACCTTCTGCCAGAGCTGAATTCTCCAGGACACCCCCTCACCCCGGGACCCCCCCCCAGGACCCCCCCCGGACCCCCAGACCCCCCCTCACCCAGCAGCCAGACCCCCTCGGGCCGCGCCCCCTCCATGAGCCGGGCGAGGGCCGAGTTCTCCAGGACGGCGGCGTTGGGGCACGACCCCGGGAACTTGGCCACGACGTTGGTGATGGCGCCGGCGCGGTCGCAGACCACCTGCATGTTGATGGAGTGGAAGTTGCCGGCGTTGCGGAAGAGCGGCTCATCCTCGGCCGGCGCCCGCAGCGCCACGTGCATGGCGCCCACCAGCCCCAGCACGCCGGGCAGCGCCGGCGGCTCCGCGGCGGGCGCCGGGGCGGGCGGGAAGGCGATGAACCGGGGGGCCCGGCGCTGCAGGGCCGCCAGGAACTGCGCCAGGCAGTTGGACATGGCCGACTGGCTGATGCCCGTGCTGAGGCGCGACGCCGTCTGGAAGGAGCCCGAGGCCAGGAAGGCGAGCGCCGACGTGACCTTGACGGCCACGGGCAGCGCGTGGCTGCGGCCCGTGAGGCTCTGCAGGTCCGAGCCCAGCTCCCGGCACAGCGCCGCGATGGCCGCGCGGTCCAGGCGGCAGCGCCGCAGCGCCTGCTCCTCGCTCAGCTCCAGGAAGGAGCGGCGCGCCCGGTACACCCGCTGCGCCGGGTACGGGCGGCGGCGGCGGCGGCGGCAGCGCCGGGGGGAGCGGGTCGGGTTCGGGGCGGGGAGGGACCCCCCGGTCGGCGGGGAGGGAGCGGGGTGAGGGTCGTGCTCCTGCCCCCGGTGCTGGTCCCGGTCGTGGGGCTGGTTCTGATCCCAATCCTGGTGCCGGGCCTGGGGTTGGTCTCGGTCACGGTCCTGACGCCAGTCCTGGTGCTGGTCCTGGTGCCAGTCCTGGTCCCGATCCCGGTTCTGATCCCAATCCCGGTCACGGTCCTGGCCCTGATCCCGCTGCCGGTTCTGATCTTGATCCCAGTCCCGATCCCCATCCCGGTCCCAGTTCTGATTCTGATCCCGATCCCGATCCCGGTTCTGATCCCGATCCTTATCCCGGTCCCGGTCCCGGTTCCGGCCTCGCAGCCGCCGCAGCAGAAGCACCGCGTGGGACATTGGGGGGCGGGGCTTCGTTGAGAGTGGGCGGGGTCGAAAGAATGGGGCGGAGTCAACGAAAGAGGGGTGTGTCCAATTGAGGGGTTAAAGCGGGAGGGGCAGGGCAGACACTGATGGGGCGGGGCCGCGGAGAAGGGGCGGGGCCCAGCCCTGTCTCTGTCGGTACCGATCCCTGTCTGGTGGATCCTTGTCGGTCCCGGTGCTGGCCGTTCCCGGTCGATCCCTGTCCCGGCCGGTCCCTGTATCGATCTCTGTCCCTGTCCCGCTCCCTGTCCCGGTGCTGTTCGATCCCTCTCGATCCCGGTCTGTCCCGGCCCCTCCGGCCCCGCGGCGCCTCCAGACCCCGCCTCTCCCCCGCGCTCCGATTGGTCGACACTGCCGCCACGCCCTCCCCGAGGCCCCGCCTCGCATTCGTCACTTCCGGCGCGACGCACCTCTGGCGGGAGCGCTTTGTGCATGACGCCATCCTGCCCGGATCTGGGCGGGGCCTCGCTCTGCCTCGGCCAATCGCGCGCCGCCGTCCCGCCGGTCCGGGTCAATCAGCGCGCGCGGGAGGCGGGGCCTCGCGTGAGGCGGTCGCCGCCATTTTGTCGCCGGTGCCGCCACCGAGTCCCGGAGCGAGGGGGGGACGCGGTGAGAGAGGGGGGAGCACCGGGAGAAGACCGGGAGGGGCCGGGGGGGCACCGGGAGCGGGATGGGGGAGCGCCGGAGCCGGGCCGAGGCTTCGCAGTCTGTGGAGGGGAACGGGACGGGGGATGGGGGGCAGGACGAGTCCCCGCGGCCGGAGGTGCCCTGGGGGTCTCACCGATCCGCCCTTTCCCCGGCGTGGGGGGTTTATTCCAGCCCCTCTCTGCAAAGCTGGGAGTGCTCCGGGGGGGTCTCCCTGAGCTGCCCCTTCCCTGGCGTGGGGGAGCTTCGCTCCAGCCCCTCTCTGTGGGGGCGGGGGTGCTCTGAGGGTCCCACCGAGCCGCGTCCGTGGAGCTGGGGACGGTTTGGGGGCTTTGCTCCAGACCCTCCCCGCGGAGCTGGGGGCGCTCGGGGGATCTCACCGGCCGCCCCTCTCCCCCCCCGGCGCCGCAGGCGGGTCGCGATGGTGAAGCTGTTCATCGGGAACCTGCCGCGGGAGGCGACGGAGCAGGAGATCCGCTCCCTGTTCGAGCAGTACGGGAAGGTGCTGGAGTGCGACATCATCAAGAACTACGGCTTCGTGCACATCGAGGACAAGACGGCGGCCGAGGACGCCATCCGCAACCTGCACCACCACAAGCTGCACGGCGTCTGCATCAACGTGGAGGCCAGCAAGAACAAGAGCAAGGCCTCCACCAAGCTGCACGTGGGCAACATCAGCCCCGCCTGCACCAACCTGGAGCTGCGCGCCAAGTTCGAGGAGTACGGCCCCGTCATCGAGTGCGACATCGTCAAGGACTACGCCTTCGTGCACATGGAGCGGGCGGAGGACGCGGTGGAGGCCATCCGGGGGCTGGACAACACCGAGTTCCAGGGTGAGCTCGGGCTCGGGGAGCGCCGGGCCGGGCGGGGGGGGGTGGAGGTGCCGCTCCGGGGGGTTTCGGCCGGATCCGGGTGTCACCAAAATCACCTCGGTGCCGCAGCTGCCGCGGCGTCCGGGGCCGTTTGGTGCCTCTTATGGTCTTATCGGCTCGGTGGGGACTGTTGGTGCTGTGTCCCCTCCCCGTGTCCCTCGGCCGGTGTCGGTTCTGCAGCCCGGGCCGTGCCCGGGGCCGTGCCCGTGGTGGCTCCGTGTCGGGGCAGAGCGGCTCCACGGCGCCCGCTTTGTGAGGAATTCTGGAGCGTTTGCCCCAAAACCGGCGGGTTTGGGGCAGGTTCTGCCCCTGGGGCCTCCTCGTGGGACCAGCGGTGTCCCTGTGCGGCCGGAATTTGGGGGGAAACGGGGTGATAACGGTAACTGAGGCTGGGAGTCACAGCCCGACGCTGCTGCCGTGCCCAGACACTGCCAGGGCGGCTCCTCTGCCCCCCAACTCCTGCCCAGGACCACGGGGAGCCCCTGCTGCTGCTGCTGGTGCCCACCCAGGCGGGTCCTGTTCCTCCCCGCCCTCAGCGGTGCCAGGGCTGGCTCTGGGGGTCTCACAGTGCCAGGGATGGGTCTCAGGGACCCCGTGGCCCGGTCCTGGCTCTCAGGGGTCCCTTGGCACAGTGCCAGTGCTGGGGGCAGCTCTCGGGGGCCTCAGACACCCCGACCTTTAAAATAATTTAATCTGGGTGCAGCAATGAAATGGCAAAATCACAGCTCGAGGGGGAGTCTCTGAGGAGGGACCCTGAGCCAAGGACCCCCCCAGTGTGTGCACGGCAATGTCTGGGGGTTGTCACCTCCTGCCCTGTCCCCAAGTGTCCCTCCCCTGGCTGGGCCACGTGTCCCCAGGCCCGCCCTTGTGGCTCTTCCTGGGGGTCCCACTCAGAGCTGAACCTGCAGCTGCCCCCAGTTCCTCGGTGCCGGTGCCGGGGCAGCTCTGGGGGTCCCAGGGGGCAGTGCCAGGGACAGCTCTGCAGGACCCCGTGATGCCAGTGCTGGGGGGGTATCTGGGGGGTCACTGTAGCACGGTGCCGGTGCCCGTGGCAGCCCCAGGGACCCTGGGCATGGTGCCGGTGCCCATGGCAGCTCAGGGGACCCTGGGCATGGTGCCAGTGCCCGTGGCAGCTCAGGGGACCCTGGGCATGGTGCTGGTGCCCATGGCAGCTCAGGGGGTCACTGTAGCACGGTGCTGGTGCCCGTGGCAGCCCCAGGGACCCTGGGCATGGTGCCGGTGCCCATGGCAGCTCAGGGGGTCACTGTAGCACGGTGCTGGTGCCCGTGGCAGCTCTGGGGACCCTGGGCACGGTGCCGGTGCCGTGGCAGCTCTGAGGGTCACTGTAGCACGGTGCCGGTGCCCGTGGCAGCCCCGGGGACCCTGAGCACGGTGCCGGTGCCCGTGGCAGCTCTGGGGGACTCTGGGCATGGTGCCGGTGCCCGTGGCAGCTCTGGGGGTCACTGTAGCACGGTGCCGGTGCCGTGGCAGCTCTGGGGGTCACTGTAGCACGGTGCCGGTGCCCGTGGCAGCCCCAGGGACCCTGGGCACGGTGTCGGTGCCGTGGCAGCCCCGGGGACCCTGAGCACGGTGCCGGTGCCCGTGGCAGCTCTGGGGGTCACTGTAGCACGGTGCCGGTGCCGTGGCAGCCCCGGGGACCCCGCGTCGCGGCGCCGGCGGGTGACGTCGGGTCTCCCTCTCCCCAAGGCAAGCGGATGCGCGTGCAGCTGTCCACCAGCCGGCTGCGGACGGCGCCCGGGATGGGAGACAAGAGCGGCTGCTACCGCTGCGGGAAGGAGGGGCACTGGTCTAAGGAGTGCCCCGTCGATCGCCCGGGGCAAGTGGCGGACTTTGCCGAGGCCTATAACGAGCAGTACGGAGCCGTGCGCGCTCCCTACGCCGCGGGCTATGGGGAGACCGTGTATTACGATGAGGCCTACGGCGGGATGGCCGACTACTACAAGCGCTACCGCGTCCGCTCCTACGCCACGGCCTCCGCGTACGACGCCTACGCGGAGCAGACCATGGCCCAGTACTCCCAGTACGCCCAGTACTCCCAGGTCCAGTCCTCGGCCATGGCCGCCACCACGGCCATGGCCGGCCGCCTCCCCGCCGCCCTCGACGCGTACGACCGAGCGCTGCTGCCGACCCCGGGCGCGGCGGCCGCCGTCGCCGCCGCCGCCACCGCCGCCGCGGCGGCCGCCTCCTCCACCTATTACACCCGGGACAGGAGCCCCCTGCGCCGCACGGCCGCCGCGGCCAGCACCGTGGGAGAGGCGTACACGTACGAGCGCGGCCAGCTCTCGCCCGTCTCCTCGGTGGCCCGGGCCTCGCTCTACGACCTGCAGCGCTTCGAGCGGGACCCCTACGGGGAGCGGGCGCGCTATTCCGCCTTCTGAGGTGAGCGCCGGCGGCGCCGACCCCCGCGGGGCCGCGGCCCCCGCGCTCGGTAACGGCCTCTCCCCCCCAGGATCGCCGCGGAGCCCCCCCGGCACTCGCCGCCGTCGCCGTGGCCTCGCGGCCCCCGGACGCCGACGCCGCGTCAGGTCAGACGTGCCCCGGGTCGCTGCTGCCACCGTGTCCCCCCCTCCCTGTCACCACCATGTCCCTCCCGTCACCACCGTGTCCCCCCTCCCTGTCACCACCATGTCCCATCCTCCCTGTCACCATCGTGTCCCCCCTCCCTGTCACCACCATGTCCCATCCTCCCTGTCACCACCATGTCCCCCCGTCACCATCATGTCACTCCTCCTGTCACCACCGTGTCCCCCCCTCCCTGTCACCATCGTGTCCCTCCTCCTGTCACCATTGTGTCCTCCCCTGTCACCACCGTGTCCCACCCTCCCTGTCACCATCGTGTCCCCCCCGTCACCATCGTGTCCCTCCTCCTGTCACTTCGTTGTCCCTCCCCTGTCACCAGGACACCCCTTTCCCTGCTGGAGCAGGCCCTGTCACCGCTGTGTCCTGGCATCTGGGTGTCCCATGTCCGGGTGTCCCATGTCCAGGTGTCCCATGTCCGGGTGTCCCATGTCCGGGTGTCCCATGTCCAGTGTGTCCATGTCAGGGTGTCCCCGTCTCTGGGTGTCCCATGTCAGGGTGTCCCCATGTCTGGGTGTCCCCTTGTCCAGTGTGTCCGTGTCAGGGTGTCCCCATGTCTGGGTGTCCCCTTGTCCAGTGTGTCCATGTCAGGGTGTCCCCGTGTCCCGGTGTCCCCGTGTCCGGGTGTTCCATGTCTGGGTGTCCCTGTGTCCTGCTTTCCCAGCAGCCTGGTGTCCCCTGTCCCCCTGTCCCCGTGTCCCCTGTCCCCCTGTCCCCCTGTCCCCTGTCCCCCTGTCCCCCTGTCCCCGTGTCCCCTGTCCCCGTGTCCCCCTGTCCCCGTGTCCCGTGTCCCCCTGTCCCCGTGTCCCCCTGTCCCCTGTCCCGATGTCCCCGGTCCCCCCGTCCCCGTGTTCCCTGGACCTGTGTCCCCCTGTCCCCTGTCCCCGTGTCCCCTGTCCCCATGTCCCTTGTCCCTGTCCCCGTGTCCCATGTCCCCTGTCCCCCTGTCCCCGTGTCCCCCTGTCCCCCTGTCCCCTGTCCCCATGTCCCCTGTCCCTGTCCCCATGTCCCCGTGTCCCCTGTCCCCCTGTCCCCGTGTCCCCATGTCTCTGTCCCCCCACCCCTCTCACCTCTCCGCTCTCTTCCAGGTGTGGCCCCGGACGGAGCCGTGTCCCCCCCCCGCCCGAGCCCCCCCTTTTTGTAGGGCGCTCCCCCCGGATGCCCCCCGGCCTCGCCCGCCCGTTTTCCACCAAAATAAACGTTTTCACCGAATTTCGAAGCCTGGGGTCGTTCCTGGGGGCGGGGTCTGGAGGGGCGGGGCGATCCCCGACCAATCAGAGCGGCGCTGGATACAAAACCCGCGCGGAATATGCAAAACGACTGGAGG